GTGAGTAAGAACATAAGAAGCGGTCATTTAAGGTATCAAGAAATTTTATCTCTGCATCCTGTCCTGAGGTGAGGTGTACCCAGTCAATATGGAGATAGTTAAAATCCCGCAGTATTATCCAGTTTTTTTTAATTCGATAGCCTCTCTAATCTCCCTTAGCATTTCATAGTCACTATCACTGTCCTGGTCAGGTGGTCGATAATATATCCCTACTGCTATGTTCTTCTTATCGGAGTATGGAATTATCATAGAGATTCTATGGAACATTTTGGCTCATTTAAGATTTTTTTTTTAAAGGATCAAAATGTCTTAAAAGTTGTCGAGAGCAGAATAAAATATGAAAGGAACAATGATTTAGCTGAGAGCCACATACAGAATGATCTGAAAATAGAACTTTCTCCTGACCATCACAAAACATCAGTGACTAGAAACCAACTGATACATTCCATGAGTTAATCTAGATCAAGCAATCCAATTCTTGTGGGCTAATAGAACAGATAGAAAGGGTACTGTACACTGAGAATGGCAATGTCTGACAATGAAAAATTTAATTTGAATGGAGAGGAAATACCCTGGAATGGTTCCAAATTGGACAATGGAAAGAGTAGAAAATAAGGGGAAGAAAGTAATTTAAATATGCTTTGAGTGGCAAGATGATAGGGAAAGGGGTGATATTGTCTGACTTGTACAATTGTTGATGCTACCATGTGCATTTGGAGGCATTTTCAACCAAATTGCAGCATTTATTTAAGGTAGAGTGATTTGTTAGCACTGTTGAGTTAGTCTGTAACTGGAAAAACATAAACAACAAATAGTCACCTTAAAGACCTAGCAAGACCGTAGACTAGCAAAAGACTATTGTGAGCTTTTTTGGGCACAAGCCACTTCTTCAGATGAATGGGCCAGTTTTTAAATAAATAGGGGGTGAGAGAGGGGGAGGGAATAGAAATAAAAAGGGAGGGAGGAATAGTCCGTTAGTCTCCATGCTACATGAAGCAGATAGAGAAGTTGCAAATTGTTCTTAAGTACCCATTTGTGGTTTTTTTATATTGTTACGATGTGGTGGGCCATCCAGCCAATGTCTTTATTCATACCTTTGTGATCAAACCTATAAATGAAATTAAGTTCCAAGTCTTCCCTGTGTATTCTTTCCAGTAACCATGCTGCACACCTCCATCATAATCATCCAGGAACCCACCCCTGCAATAAGTCCTGATGCCAACTCTGTCCACACATCTGTACAAGCGATATCACAGGACCTAACCACATGAATCACCACATCAGAGGCTCATTTAACAGCAAATCCACTAATGTGATCTATGCCATCAAATACCAGCAGTTCCCCTCTGCCATGTATATTGGCCAAACTGGACAGTCGCTATGGGAAAGAATTAATGGACACCGATCAGATATCTGAAAAGTTAACACACAGAAATCAGCTGGGGAAAATGTTATCTTGCCCGGGCTCTCATTAATGGATCTCCAAATCACTGTGTTGTTTCAGGCCAATTCCACAAGCCGAAACACAGGGAAGCCTTGGATTTTAACTTCATTTACAGGTTTGATTCCTATCACAAAGGTATGAATAAGGACATTGGCAGTATGGCCCTCTACATTCCACATCTTAGTGATATAAAAATCCAAATAATGGGTACTTAAGAACAGTTTGCAACTTCTTCATCAGCTTCATGTAGCACGGAGACTATTTCTTTCCCTTTTTTCCCTTCTCTTCCCACCCCTATTTTTTGAAACTGGACCTTTGATAATTCCATTCATTTGAAGAAGTGTGTTGTACCCACAAAAGGTCATGGTACCATCTACATGTTTTCTTAGTCTTTAAAGTGCTCCAAGACTATTTGTTGTTTAAGTACTTCCATTTATGTCCTGTGGTGGCATTTTTGTGGTCTTAGGGGTAGTTTTATGGCTACCTATAGGAACTGCTCCTTCTTGGTGCAGAGCAGGCTCCTAAGCGGTTGGCAGCAGTTCCTGTGGGGCCTTTTCAGAGCTGATAATAGGGGCACTTTGAGGCCTCTGGGCACCCCACAAATTAAGTGAAAGGAACAGCTGCTCTTCACAATCTGGACTACCCAGCCAGGGCTCCTTTAGACCAGGCTCCAGCAGCTTGGTCTTCTTTCTTCTTAGGGATGTAGGGGAAGATAAGATAAAGGATGGGGATGGCAGGCTCTCATACTTGCAATCAAGTACCAGCAGGTTTCTCACTCTGCACAGCAGACATTGGGCACCATTCATAGAGTGAGTCACTTCTCTGAGAGCCTGCAAAGACTGTAAGGTATTGTCTAGGCTTCTCGAGCCTGTGACTCTGGCCCTGATTGTAACTGAGCCTCATCCTTCTTTCATTTTCTTTCTGAAGGTCATTTTGCAACTGAAATGAGAAGATTTTGATTATCAGTGACACTTGTTGGTGATGGTTCCATGAAAGACTGCAAAGAGAATGGAGATGTACTCTATAAAGTGGAAGAGTAATGATGCTCTTAAGTACTGAGTTAAGCAACACTGATGCAGACTAGAAGATCTATCACCAACTTGGGTGGGGGAAGAAAACCTGCTGTCCACTAGACTGCAAACACAGTTGCCTTATAGAAAATGCTGATGGTTGTATAAGCCTATGAAAGACTGCAGCAGCATTATGGAAAAGTTAAGTGCTACTTTTGGAGAAGAGATTTTGAAGATGTACATAAAATTGTTTTTCTTCAGAATAAGAAATCTTGCCTCTACAATAACTTATTTCATCGTCGTATGAGTTGTCGTCCTGGGAAGGATAAGCATATCAGTGTCCCATAACATAAATATTTGATACTTTTGATTAGCAAAGTAATAAACAGTCGATGCTTTACGTGGTTAATGGCTTTGAAACATTGTGGTTTTTACTCATGAAATCTTATATCCAAATCTATAAGTCTTTAAGGCGCCACGGGATTCCTTGTTGTTTTCTTAGAGACCAACATGGCTACCCCGTGAGACATAAAAATCGTTAAACATTCAGAACCTTCCTACCTGTGTCTTGAGGGTTTCTCAAAATTGTCTTGAATCTGCTCTGCAAACTGGACTAGTGTCAAATTCTGAGTAAGAAACACTTGGCTTTTAACTGACAAGCGTGGCACTAAATAAATAAATGAAAGCAAGTGGTGGCCTTGTGGAACATTAGGTCAGCTATTTCCAAAGAGTATCTAGGAATATAAATGCTATACATAGGGATCAAAATAGTGCTCCCAACCCAACATAGTGTTTTTCTGCATAGAGAATGAGAGAATATCTTACTGCCTCTATATAAATCCCTGGTGCACCCCCACCTTGAATAGTGTATGCAGATCTGGTTGCCTCATTTAAAAAAAAATATTGGCATTGGAAAAAGTTCAGACAAGGCCACAAATGATTAGGGCTATGGAACAACTGCCATACGAGAGGAGATTAATGATGGGGAATTTCAGTTTGGAAGAGAGATGACTAAGGTGGACTACAATAGAGGTCTATAAAATCGTAACTAGCATGGAGAGTGTGACTAAGGAAAAGTTATTTATTCTTTCCCATAACAAGAGAACTAAGGGGTCACCAAACAAAATTAACAGGTAGCTGGCTTAAAACCAATAAAAGGTACTCTTCGCACATTGCACAGTAAAACTCCTGTGAAACTCCTTAACAAAGGGTGTTGTGAAGTCCAAGAATATAATAGGATTAAAAAAAGAGCTAGATAAATTCATGGATAGGTCCATCAATGGCTGTTAGTTAGGATGGGGAGGGATGGTATCCCTAGCCTATCTTTGTCAGAAACTGGGAATGGGCGATGGGATGGATCACTTGATGACAATTACCTATTCTGTTTATTCCTTGTGGAGCACCTGGTGTTGGCCACTGTCAGAAGACAGAGTACTGGGCAAGAAGGACCTTTGGTCTGACTTACTATGGCCATTTTTATGAGGGTGTTACACATCTGCAGAGGTTGGGGGCAGGATTTAGGCTACATGGAAAATAGATTAAAACCCACATTTCTGCAGAGAATTTGATACCTAAATGCTATCCGATTTGAATTATTACATGCTTTGTTAAAACACATTTACTTGTATTTAAATAGAATAAAAACATTTATGCATTCATTTTACTTGTGAACTGTAGTAAACGATGTTATCTGCCTTCAACATTTTGTGTGCGTGACTTCCTCAGCAAGAGGATGCGGAAGTGATGTAAAGGGCAGAATCCTGCTATCCTACTCAGATAACAGTGATTTGTCAGATACAAGAACCAAGAGCATCAAATGTCAGTGGTGAGATTCTCATTGATTTGTGTGAAAGCAAGACCTGGGTTCAGATTTACATCTCTAAGGCTGTTTATACTACATGTTTTCTCGGCAGAAAATATACTAATGAGAGAGATGTACTGATCTTGCAGAGAAAGGGGTTTTTGCACAAAAAGAAAATGTCCGCACTGCTTGTTTTTGTGCAAAACCCCCTAGTGCAGAAATGGAGCGGCAGAAAATATGTAAATGAGATCATGACTCATGCAAATGAGTCCCTCATTAGCATATTTTTTGCCAAGGAAACTCATAGTATAGATGTAGCCTAAGAGAAAACAGTCAGCCACTACAACATTCTGTAGGACAGAGCCTCACCTGGCATAATTTGATTGTAGCTTCAGTGTTAATTTAATGGAGCTTTGTCAACTTGCATCTCTTCAGAAACTGGCCCTCTAAGGAAACATTAGCCCTGCCAGCATAAAATATGTGAATTTCTTCATAATGTTACCTTAATTACTTGATAAAAATATATATTACTTTTTGATTATCTGCCTTAAATATGATTATAATCTTCCCTTTCCACTGTGAATAGTGTTTGTGATTAAATGAATGTGTAAATACTTTGTGTTTTCCATATGGCAAGCTAATGAAGAAGCCATGAGCCACCACTATTTAATTTTATGTTGAGAATACTACATAATTTCAGAAATGATTGCAAATTAATTCTTAGTGTACTGTATCATTGTAATGGTGTTTCCAGGCAGAGTGAAGTAGAGAGAAGCAAACTTCACATAGAATAGCTACATGTAATTTCAAGCAATTTATTTTAGATGCAGAGAGACACACTAGATTTTTTTTTTCTGATTTGAAATATAGCAATTTTGTTACTTGCTCAAAGATATTCAGGTGGTTACTCCTTTTTTAGCTTTGTTTTTGTCTTTCTATTGTTGAAATGAAATGAGTGAATAGGGTTGCTTATAAAATTAACAATCAGTTATTGATTAGCGTATATACATTTTATAGCTTAGATTAGGGATGTGAATGGTTAAACTGGTAAGCATCACCTGGTAAACAGCAGTGGCTGGAGCAATCCCCCACCTGATGTGAGCAGGGGGCTGCTCTGCTCTGAAGGCACCTAGCGCAGGCAGAGGGAGTTTAGGTTCCCAACTTGATGTACAATGAAGGGGCCTCTTTTTCAAGAAATTCTGGGTAGGGATATAAGTGAGTAGTTGAGTACTTGATTATCCGATAAGCCTAAGCTTATCAGGTAGTCAAGCACTTGACTACTCGCTCCCCTCCCCCTCTCCCCCCCACTGCCTCTGTATCAAGATTGGGAACAGGAGACAGTGCTGGGGGGAGCGGGCTTAAAAGCCGGTCCCCCCCCCCCCCAGCACTGTCTCTGTGGTACAGTCTGCCCTCCCCCTTGCACTACTGCTTCTGTCAGTTTAAATGTAGTAGGAGCTGGGCTGCCTGTGCACTTAGCTCTTACTACATTAAAGCTGCAGTGGGGATAGCTCCTGGATCCGTGTGAGCTGGCACAGAGCACCTTCCCTTATTGACTAATCGTGTAGTCAATACAAATTGTATCGATTACATGATTAGTCAATTACCCACCTCTTAACATCCCTAATTCTGGGTACTCGTAAAGGAGCCCCTAAAATCATGTAATTACGCTATAGAATATAACCGTATGCTTCTGCCCTTCTCTGCAGATTTTCCAATCCCTCTCCTTGAAGAAGAATTTAATTGAAATTCAGCAAATTGAAAATGTTCCTCCTCTTACAGGATTCACTTAAGGAGGAGAGACTATATTCCCTTATATTTATTTGTCTCTGGTGACTAGGTATGTGTGGAATTCCTAACACTTGAATTTAGAGGACTATAAATTAATGGACATAAATATAGATATTCAAGTAAAACCTCTGGCTTCTTTTCAAACTGACCATCCGCATTTGTGGATTGACTAGCTTATCTTCTGCAGGATGGGGACATTCTTTTACCAAGAGCTGTCTTTACAATGATATTGTGGGCCTTGACTATTTTTCTCATCATTGTACATGCCCCCCAAATCCATAGTAATCTGCATCACATAGGCATGGATATTGTTGTAGGATATGGCCATGTGTACGTCAGGTTCCTCAGGAATAGTGTGGGGATCTGCACAGCAAAACTAGCTTTAATTAAAACTGGCCAAATTCATACCAAAAGACTCTTGATAAAGGAGGCCTCACTGTTAATTTAATAATTTTATTATCCATACCTCCTTTTTGTGAATGGGGGAAGGAGTTACAAACAGGCTAGAAACTTGCTCCTTATATTTACAGTGCTAAAAGTAAGAAATAGCTGCTATACAAATATTTATACAAATGAATGCTAAGTCAATTCTGCACATTTCTGAGTAGAATACAACTTTGCTGCTTTTTTTAACAGTTTATAAATACCATGAATGCATTAGAGAAAGCTTTTGAATGCTTACAAGGTCTCTACATCAAAGGATGTAAAAATGAGTAGGTTAAGTTAGTACAAGAATATGCTTTTATGCAGGTTTACATGATGGTTCAGAGATCTATTGTTCAAAAAGATTGTAAATAAATTCTTCAGAACAAAGGTTTCTATAATTTTAAACAGGCTGCAAATGATTTTACATTCAAACTATAAAAAATATGGAAAATCAGATGCTCTTCAGTTCATACAAAGTAAGTTTTAACATCAAACATTTAAAAATAATGCTTTTATTTGGTTGCTAGGAAGATGCATACTAATATTTTACATACTTACATTTTATATTACATGTTTTGAAGCTATGAAAAAATGGCTTTAATTACACTGCAGGTGTGTGTTATTTACATTTTAGTGTTTTCTTGTTCGTATCCTGCCATTTACTGCAGCATTTAACAGGGAAGGTTGAATACAGTAGAGCATCACATTTAAGAACACTTTGGGAATGGGGGCTGTAACTGAACAAAGTGTTAGCTCTTTCATAAGTTTACAAAGGAATGTTGACTTAACACCCTTGAAACTACTATGCAGGAAAAAATGCTGCTTTTTAAACCATTTAATTTAAATGACACAAGCACGGGAACTGTTTCCTTACTTTGTCAAATTGATTAAGCTTTCTCTTTATTTTTAGTAGTTTGTTTTTTTCCCCTGCTGCTGTGGCACTGTGCACTTCCAGCTCAAATGAGGTATGAGGTTGATGGGTCAGTTCATAACTATCGTATTGGAAACTGAGGTTCTACTGTATATTAAGAAAATGAAAAACTGTTTCTTTCTGGTAGAATGAAGCAATAATAAAAATGTAACACTTTTTGAATATACAATTTTACAGAGATTTTGAAATTGATGGGAAATTTATTTTTTACATTCCTTAAACTATATGCTCTATAAAAGTAGCAAATATTGTCAGTAAACATTGACTAAAGTATGTGAATGACCAAAAAGCAGGGAATGAACACTTACAGGATTGAATAAAGCCTAGACAGGGGAGGAGTTATAATTTGTAGTATTTTGGAAGGAAATGTGGCCAAATCCTTAAGTCCCTTACAAAGGACCAAACCATCCTGTATGTAAGGCACGTAGTGACCTAAGTAAACATAAGAGGAAATGGATAAAAAACCCACAGAAGAAAGAGCCCACTTTTCTATGGTATTCTATGGTATGTTTGGGCAATAGCGTGTCTTTTTATGTGCTATAGAAGAGTCCCAGGCACATAAGAGAAGTTGTTTTTCTATGCCGTGATTGTACATCTAGAAAT